AAATCCGACAAATGGAATATTGTAGAACTTATCGTCATTAAACAAAGAAATTTAGGAAGAAATCTGAAATTTTTTATTTAATGTATTTTCATGGTCACAAATTCGAAAATTGAATGTTGACAACGTTGGGCTAAGCTTCAACGGGTTGACGGGCCGAGCACGTCCTACAGTGCCCTCGCTTTCCGCAGTCTGGTCGGACAGACTCACAGCTCAACACGACCAACACCACACTAAAGCGAGGTTAAGGAAAAAAATTTCATACTTCCCGGGATGAAATTGTAGGCGCTTTTCGGTGATTCAACGTTGAGTCACCCACAGGTCAGGAATTAGAACAAGAAATATGAGCCTGTCATTGCGGATTGAATAGTACGCAGTGCCTCAATTTAAGAGGGCCGTGAAGGATTCAACGGTCAGCCAACGCTTCTTGGCCAACTCAGCATTCTGTTGCTCAACACGACTCTCACTCGTCTCTCTCGCCGAGAATCTAAAGGCAAAAGATGTCGCTGCAAATAGTTGCGGTAAAAGAAGACGTGGGTTTCAACAAGCCTCAATTAGACAGGTGTCCTTCAATACTGCCCACCCAGCTTGTGACTGACAGAAGCCGAGAAGCCTATAAATAAGTCCTCTACCCCCGGCAATTTACTCTACAATTTATTACCTTGACTTTGCAAAATCGAGCAGGCTTGTATCTGAGTCACTTGATAGATTTTCCCCCATTGATCCAACACTGAACTTCCCACTGTACTGACATTTATAAGATACATCGTGGATAAGCAAGCCAGGCAGTGCCTGTGAGAGATACAGGTATGATTCCCACCAGATGCACTGCCATTCATCCCAGCCGATCAAAGAGATAAGTCTTAGGCTGGCGGGTCCAAGTGTCTATGCGAAGATGTCTCCGTCACAGCAGCCGTCTGAACTCATCTACTGTACAGCCTCTGTGTGCGTCTTCCCAAGAGACAGCGCAAACATCCGCGTCGCAGGTATGTGATTCTCAGCCTGACTTGCCTAAATTCTACTGATCATGCAGACGATGCGATTGCAATAGAACCGAGTACAATTGACCACAATACACGAGCGCAGAGTCACAGCTCTTTACCGTCTCTTGGTCCCTAGTCTTGGCCACCAGAGCATGTGAGTCATGGATTATGTCGCCGATCTACAAGCTAATGAACGATAGTGAACATTGACATTGCACCAGAAGTCCCCGAGGATACAGCACCCCCGTTAGTGCTCTGCACAAAGCCACTACCTACACACTATTCATGGCCCCGTCGCATCAAACCACGCAGCAAAGAATCAGGTGAAGAAGGAACGGGCTAATAACAGGTGCGGACATCCGATCGCGAGCTTCGCTGCGCAGAAGCTTGAGACGTCCATTCTTCATGACAATGTGAGTGATTGATCGCATCCTCTGCTGCACTATATCAGTTGTTGCGAGTTTTTGTGCTCCAAATCACCAATACCATTACTGATTTTCATGCCACTGTAGGAGCAGCCATCGCCACTGTGAAAGATACCCGGTGAGAGTCCTATCGCCGGATCGGAGATAAGACCACGTCACTACGACGCGTGATCCATCGCGTCTTGCGCCTCGACCTCACCGCCTCCAGACCATGAACGGCGGAGCGTATGAACCTCTCGCCATCCCCATCACGAGGTTTTATCCCATTACGGCTGTACAATTTCCTGTCCCAGTTGGTTCGTCACGCGCATTTGGCTCTCAGAAATTGCCCGGTGCACCCAGCGCGCCTTCTTTGAAGCGACAACCGGAGAGTGCGACGAACTGGATACAACATCATGTCAAATGGCATGGATGGTGACTGCTTTGATGAAGACAATTGTAAGTGATCTCGTCGGTAAGATATGACCACAGGCTAATTGATTGTTTCGTCTCAAGCGAACGTTCTGCGAACTTTATGAACAGGTAAATTATAAAATCTCGTCCAAGTGGTAATGTAAGCCTTACTGACTCGGATCATACAACAGCGCCCCTCATATTCCCGTCACTCGACTCGAATGCGAAGCAAGCAATCTGTCCCTTCATCATTACCACGGTGGGATGGACGAGGAATGAATGGAATGTTCACATCATCTCTGCCCTTCTCTCAGTCGACACTATGCACCAGTGATGTCCTGATGTGTCTACCGGTACAAAGTCCAAAGCATAATGGGCCAAACCACTGTTTATCTCGGTATTCGAACACCACGAAAGGATAGGTTTCTTGTGGATCGAATTCCCGGCGTCCAATGGGTGATGTCATTGTCCTCGGTTGGCATCTCGCGTCTTTTCAGTCCTGGAACTCCAACAGACCGAGGAATGCTGGTGGTTTTGTCCACAGCCCGGCATTTTGGAAGCAACGACCGGAAAGTGCGGTGAACCAGAATACAACATGGCATGAATGGTGCTGCATTGCCTTGCCGAAGATGATTGTAAGTGATCTATTTGGTAAGTTCATATGACCACGAAGTTTACTGATCGTCTCGTCTCAAGCGTACAAATCGTGCCCTCTGCGAACTCTATGAACAGGTAAGTCATAAGAACTCGTCCAAGTGGTAAGCCTTGCTGACTCGTATCGTACAACAGGACGCCCTCATTTTCTCTGCTCGAGCTCCCCCATACCGATGCGATCGCATGCTGTCTATCATTTCCACCTAACTACTGGTGGCACGATGATGAGCCAATGTAAGGTCCGGATCGTCTCGGCCCTTCTCTCAGTCGACTCTGTGCATCAGTCATGTGCTGATGTGTCTACCCGATACAAAGCTCAAGCCACAATGGGCTTATACCACCGTGTCTCGGCATTCGAACACCGCGAAAGAATAGTCTCCTTGTGGATCGAATTCGTGGCGTCCAATGGGTGAAACCCAGTGTTCTCGGTTCGCATCTCGCGTCTTTTCAAGCCACTCCGAAGACCCGAGATATGGTGGTGATTTTTCTTGCTCCATGGCAGGTGAGCCATACCTTCGCAGACGGCCAGATGGTTAGTCTAAGTCTGCGTGCAAGGAGAAGGTGACGCAAAGGCCCCCTCATTTCGAGCCTACGGATTAACAATGGCCATATCAGCTACGCACCAAGAGAGAGGCCGTCTGGTCCCGAGTCACAGCCGAACTAAAAACCCACGAGCTACAAATCACCGACCTATACTGTCCTACTTGATCCTACCCCACGTTGCTGGGCCGTTCGACGCATACGAGCGAGCGGGAAGGGACCAACTGGACACACGACGCTGCATCAGGGGCACTGTCAGAAATGCTGTGGTGTCTTTGGACAGATGCTTGGTAGATTTAATGGGTGTGCAAGGCCATTTACCCTGGGTGTCACTGCAGCTGAAGCGTAGTCAAGATGAGCGCGTGCGTCATATTTTCACTGGTGTCGTGCTCTAATATATCACGCGAAAGCATCTGTTGCCAGGAAATGGCCGGTTTCTCTACTTCCCCTACGTCGACTGTCCTTGAGCATCAGGTATATATTTGTCAAACTCACCACGCCATGGACGTTCTTTGGCATATCACTGTTCAAGCAGATCTTTTGTGAAGGTGGGATTGATGTCCACAACAACACTACCAAGAGCCATCCTGCTGTGCGACCTCTGGCAACCTATCCTGTTTGTTCTAACCCTAATCAGCGCTCATGTCACGTTCGCCTTTGGAGGATGGGTTTAGGCGTATAACTGTTGCAATTAGAGGTCAGCTCAAGGGCCAGTTGCGCGGTTATCACCTCACGACAGTCCGTCGTAAATAATGATGGAGTCGTCTTCACCAGGTCTTGTCAAGATGGCGCTTGCTAGACCCCGATCCGGCTGCAACCATGTTCTCTGGGCAGCAGAGTATGCTTGATTGCATGGACTCGGGTACCACGCCCAAAAAGCAGTGATCGCCAATTTGAGTGTAGTGTGGTTTCTACATGGGCGATGAGCTCACAATATAACTCGTAGTTGTTGGCAGGGATTACTCACAAGGGTACGACGGCCCCTATATATATATAGAAGAGCCGATTGGATGTTCTTGAGTCAAAGCCCTCAATTACTTGGTTGTCTTTGTTGCGAATCCAATTTGACTATCGCGACCGTTCTAGGATATAGGCATTCTAGGGTAGAGTAGGATTGAGTGACTTGCAAGCCGCCTGAAGCGATAAATTTGACCATGCAAGGAACAGTCTATCGCATCACTATATTGAGCTGAGACAACAAATTGTATTTTGAGTGCTTCTCATCAAATGCTTCTACACCAGGTAGGCCTGACCTTGAGTGTATTGTCTGTTTTAGCTGAACCGAAGGAAATCCGGTGTTTGCATTCACCAGGTCAATCAAATTGGAGACTGTATGCGTGCTTCACCGAGTGACCACCAGGGAACAAGAAATAACGCAGAATTGAAACAATAATGAAACTGATATCTCTGTCATGTGGGTGAGATGGCAACAAAGAGCTCGCGCCAAGGCCGTGAGACGTTGACCACTCAACTTCACCGCCCGGCCGTATACCACATCAACACCCTCGTCAACGTTCATCAATGTTCATCAACGTTCATTGACGACCATCATGTTGAGTATCACGGTGGTCAAAGCTTGTGGCAGGACTAGCGATGTACATTTAAATAGACGGGTTTCCCACTTTTGATAGTAACCCTAACAAGAATACTACAACTACCTATCTCAACAGGTTATGAGCCCGAGTGGCTTTACCTTTGGGCATGCAGGCATCTAAATACCAAAAATCCCTTGCCTATGATTACAGCTAAGCTTCTCTGTCAAGAAACCAACTGCATGAACTTCAGAAACTGATCACGTATTCTCAGTAACTTGATGAAAAATACGATATCATATTCCTCAACCCTCTCCGAGGAAATTCTTTTCACTGAAGAGCTACAGACAGCATGCTATCATTGCTACTGTGACAAGGGCACGCAGTATCGCAAGGTTGCCTCCATACCCGGGACATGTCGCCGTTTGCAGCAAGCCTTAGGGATTTCTCTGCCAAATAGCCATAGACAGTGTGCCATGATTGCTACAGTTACACTATGGACTGCCACGAGGTACTGCAAACGTTACCTACTGCTGAGACATGTCACCATTTTCAACAAGCTCGGTATCTATCTTCTTGGAGTCACCAGCCACAAGGCCATTTCGGAAGGTAAAATGCGAAAAACACTACAAAAGAGACACTCTTGGACAGACGAGGAGCTGAAGATTCTCTCGTACCTCCGACACACTTGCCACTGGCACTTCAAGCAAATCCAAAAGTCATACTTCCCATCACTTTCTCTGAGCGCACTCCGAGGAGCCTACTGGCACCAGTCTACCGAAGACCGCATACGCCGAGCGTCGAACGCCACTATCCCAACTATCGATCCTCGCAACTCGGTGAAAGGCTTCTCAAGTGCCTCCAAAACTCATTCCATCTCGGATAATCTCAGTCGATCAGAAAACAGTATTGAGGCTTTGGCATCGACCCCTCAAAGTCCCGTGGGTAGAAACAAGCCATTCATTTCCAACGAGTGCAACTCGAGTCGCTACGAACTCCGGCCAAACAGACCCTCAAACTTCCCTCCAAGAGAGCCGCAATATCTAGTTGACCGACGCCGTTTTCCCCACTTCTTTAGATCGTACAAGTACTCTCTCAATCGACAGGGGATCCCAGACAGCGACTATACTCCTCAATCTCGGATGCCTACGCCAAGCTCATCAGATCGAAGCGTTTCCATTGTCTCAAGCCTTCCTAGTGCCGCGTCAAGCCTTGAACTCTTCGGCTTGGAGGTGCGCTCTCCTCGGTCATCAAATAGTGGCTCGGTTACCTCTGATCGGCCCAACGACATATCTAGCTCTGAATTCTTCAGCTCCGAGGAGCATCCTCTGCCGACATGACTGAAATCGCAAAGTTCGAGCAATTCGGAATCAATACGTTCTATAACGGAATTCCAACATTAGACAATGCCAGCGACTGGTTTCGGTGGAATCAGAAGGTCAATGAGTTCATTCGGATATCTGCGGTTGCCGACGATGGAGCGACTCCGCCGACAGAAGAAGAAGCAGCACGGCAATGGATTCACCGCCAAAAGTTCTATTCTGCGATGATTACGGCAAAGTTGACACACAATGCGGCGCAAAGAATCAATGCTTTTGAGATACCTCGAGTTCAAGCACTGCTTAAGGCAGTCCAGGACAACTTCAAACCGGAAGGCTCCGGCACGTATGTTAGCCTCCAACGACGATACATGGCCCTCACAAGAGACAAGTGTGGGAGCACCCAAGCGCTGGGGGCAGAGATCAGGAAGATTCATGCTGAAAAACTCCTTCTTGACCCTGATTGCGTGACCTCCGAAATTGAGCGAACATTTTTCTTTGTTCATGCACTCGGCCCCGAGTACGAGAGCTTCCGCGATCATATCTTCCGACAAATGGACCTTGTCAACGAAAGAGATGCAAATGGGAGTATTATCAAAGCAGCACCTACATTTGACTATATCGAGAATAAGGCCATTGAGGAAGAGCATAGAAAAGGGCAATTGGGCAAACAAGCAATGGAGTCGCAAGCTCTTCCTGCTCTTGCCCTAGTCCGTGGGCCAGGTGACAAGAAGCTCATACCGTCGTCGGACGGAACTACTTGTCGGATAGAGATTGATAACGTCCCATATTGCTCCTTCTGCCGAAAACCTTATCACATCGACGCCGAATGTTTCACCAAGAACCCGAGACTGAAGGTCCAAAGGAAGGACGGAGACGGACCGAAACCAAGACCAGGCAGAATTCACATAGGCGGACGCAGACAGTCGAAGAGGCGGACCTTGACGGACGACGAGGACGACGATGGGAGTGGCCCAAAAGACCCGAAGAAACCAACCTTCATGGCGACGAAAGTCTCCGGAAAAGATGTCAACGATGCATTTGGAAACGATATCGAGGGCAATCTCACCCTGTTTGACCATGTTCCCATTATGATGGCGATAAAGACCCCCTCCATCCGTGACGCGTGGATCGTGGATAGTGGATGCGCTCAACATGTTTGCAATAGCGCCTCCAGGTTTGTCCAAATGGCTAAATATCATGGGCCTTCACTGAGAGGCATTGATACCTCAACAGCTCCCTCGGGCGTGGGAACAGTAAATATCCTGTGCAATGTACGCGGCAGAAAGAAATGGCTAGTGCTTGATAACGTCCTGTATGTTCCATCTGCACATGCCAATCTCATATCGGTGCTTCAGCTTCTCCAACGAGGGGCAAAAGTCGAATTCTCAAGCCGGGATGCTATCCTTCGCAACAAGTCAAACGGAAAGAATCTGTTTACTGCCAGTGAATATCATGGAGTCTACGCACTCGATCTGTGGGCAAGTCTGACTTTCCCCTCTTACCATGTTAGCCCACAAATGTCTCTGTGGCACAGCCGGCTTGCCCATATGAGTGACGCAAACCTTCGGCGACTCAAGCAGCAAGCTCATGGCGTGCGGGACATGGAGGCACGTCATCCATGCAATCCCTGTCTGCAGGGGCGAATGATCGAAAGGTCTCACAGAAGATCAAGGGTCAGCAGGAGAGGAGAACACACAATGGACCTCCTCCATATTGACGTCGCAGGGCCATTCGATGAGGGCCTAGATGGCAGCCGTTACTGGCTAACCATCGTTGACGACTTCACGGGCTGGATCGAGATTTTCCCGATACCGCGAAGACAACACTTCGTCATAGAATCACTGCGGTTCTTCCTCGACCACAACGAGCGCCCCGAGCGAAAATGCAAACGAATACGTCTGGACCGGATATCTGAACATATGGGAGACGAGATGAAATTCATGTTGTTCTCGCGCGCAATCCAAGCGGAGGTGACAGGAGTGGATCAACATCAGCAAAATGGGGTTGCCGAAAGAGCTCATAAGACAATCTATGACCGTCTTGGGCCTACGCTGGCACATGCAAGGCTGCCGTCTAAGTTCTGGCCGGAAATTGCTCGAACTGCAGCTTTCCTCTCGAATCGGTCGCCGTCATCGAAGCTCAACATGACTCCGTACCAAGCGTGGTACGGCGACAGACCTGACCTCTCAAGACTAAGAATCATCGGATCAAAAGGAGAATACTTGATTCCGCCAAAGCAAAGAAAGAAGCTCACGGATCCACGAACAAGGCCATGTATTTTGCTGGGCTACGAGGGCAATACCAACTACCGTATCCTCCTGGGAGACGGGAGAATCATTGGAACACCAAACGCTGAATTTCAAGAAGTCCTTACAACTCCCTCCACACAGACTTTACAAGATGTGGGAGCCAGACAAGACGGCTCACCTGAGGCAACGGCTGCTGTCGCAGGGGGAGTGGGACGGTGGGACTAATAAACCAACCGTCGGTAGGAATACGGCAAGCATCCGTGCCTGCCTCGGGGCGCCAATTGTCGATGGATCCCCCAGAGCGGGCCCTACCTAAGTCGAGAAACGATATCTCGCACACACTGCCTCGGAGTGATGATAACTCGCGAGTGCTTACCCAGCCGAGTGACGATAACTCGCAAACTCAAGCGTTGTCCCAAACGAGTGACGATGACTCGCAGCCAGCTGTTGCTGTACAGGGAGACAGGACCTTGTCGCGCACACGGAGTGAGAACACCTTCGGACCTCTATCACCTGCTTATCAGGATTCCGTCCTTGGGATTGAATCGCCACCCGGTGGCGACCAGCAACAGGGCGACGCGGTTGCTGCTCAAGGAGACATAACCTTATCGTCCATACGGAGAGGGAACACCCTCGGGCCACTATCACCTGATTATCAGGATTCTGTCCTTGGGATTGATTCACCATCCGGTGGCGACCAGCAACACCAACGAGGGCCAATTTTAGAACGGCAACGATATTCAGAGCTCCATCGGCCGGTCCATGAAGTTCAACAAGGAACATTAGATCACCACCCTGAACTAAAACTTCGGGCTTCGGAAGCCGCATTGGACAAACCTGATGGAGACGAAGAGCTTGCGCTCTTGAACGTACCTGAAGAAAAGGTCATTCCAACCTTCTTGGCCATGGCTGCAAAGGAGACGGAACCATTTGAGCCCAAAACTCTGAGCCAAGCAAAAAACGACGCAAGCTGGGTGGATTGGGAAAAAGCCATGCTTGAGGAAGTGAATTCACTCCACCAAAATCACACGTGGGAGCTTGTGGATCCTCCCAAAGACCGGCGGGTACTCAGCGGTAAATGGGTCTTCAAACTCAAGCGCGGACCGCATGGCGAAATCATCCGCCACAAAAGCCGATGGGTAGTGAGAGGATTCACACAAGAAGAAGGAATTGACTATGATGAAACTTTCGCATCGGTTGTCAAGCCAATGAGCTACAAGGCTCTCTTCGCCATCGGAGCGGCCCTGGACTTGGAGATTGAACAAATGGATGTCAAAACCGCATTCTTGTACGGAGATATCGACCACGAGATCTACGTCGAACAGCCCCACCACATGACGGACGGCACGCCAAGGGTCTGCAAGCTTCGAAAGGCCCTCTATGGCTTGAAGCAGGCCCCTCGGATCTGGTACCAGACCCTGACAAACTTCCTTCGCAGCCTTGGCTTCGAGCCAATCACCGCCGATCTCGGTATCTTCGTCCGGAGCAGTGTGTACATCGCAGTATACGTTGATGATATCCTGATCGTGGGTCCGAGTATCGCTGAGATCAAGAGGATCAAGCGGAGCCTGAGAAACCGGTTTCAGATGACGGACCTGGGGCCATGCAGCTACTATCTCGGGGTGTCCATCCAGCGAGACCGTCAAAACAGGAGACTGCTCCTAAGCCAAGAGGCATACATTGACAATATCGCTCATCAACATGGAATTGACAACTGCGCCCCCGTCAGTACGCCGATCGAAACCTCACCACTTCCGGAAAATAGTCCAGACTACACCTGCACTCCAGATCAAAGGACCTCTTACCAACGCATTGTCGGATCACTAATGTACATCATGCTTGGAACCAGGGGGGACATCGCGTATGCGGTCTCTGTCGCTAGCAGATCTCTCTCAAACCCTGGCTCCCAGCACATGAAACTGGCCCGTCGCATCCTGCGGTACCTCAAAGGAACAAAGAACCTCAGACTCACCTACCAAGGTCAGCTTCAGACCCTGAGAGGCTTCACAGATGCGGATTGGGGAGGATGTCGCGCCACGAAACGATCCACAGCTGGCTATCTCTTCAACATTGGAAGCGGGGCAATCAGTTGGCAATCGAAACGCCAGGGCGTTGTTGCCCTTTCAACCTGCGAAGCCGAGTTTCTAGGACAAACGCAAGCCACCAAAGAAGCCGTCTGGCTGAGAAGACTTCTCAATGAATTGAATATGGATCAAGGAACAACCGCCACGATCATCTGCGGTGATAACCAGGGTGCCATCGCTCTTGCTTCAAATCCACAATACCACTCCCGCACAAAACATATGGAAATCCAACGCAAATGGCAGGGAGAGATCCAAGATAGCGGAGGAGTGCAGCTTGGCTATGTCCCAACCACAGAACAGATTGCTGATGGTTTTACCAAACCTTTGACTCGGCAAAGATTTGAGTGGTTTCGAAGAGAACTCGGCATCGAGTAATCACGTCTCCATTTCACTCGAACCAGTCCAAGGCGCAGGATACCCTTTCCTTCTTTTCTTCTCAAAGGAAGTTTTTGGAAGGTTTTAATGGGACCTGTCTCAACCGCGATTGAAGTGTCACCGGCACCATCGGAGATGGTTGCCATCGAGTGGGAGTGTTGAGTATCACGGTGGTCAAAGCTTGTGGCAGGACTAGCGATGTACATTTAAATAGACGGGTTTCCCACTTTTGATAGTAAACCCTAACAAGAATACTACAACTACCTATCTCAACACATCAACGCTCATTAACGACCATCAACGTTTATCAACGCTCATCAACGTTTATCAACGTTCATCGACGTTCATCAACGCTCATCAACGTGTTGAGATAGGTAGTTGTAGTATTCTTGTTAGGGTTACTATCAAAAGTGGGAAACCCGTCTATTTAAATGTACATCGCTAGTCCTGCCACAAGCTTTGACCACCGTGATACTCAACACTCCCACTCGATGGCAACCATCTCCGATGGTGCCGGTGACACTTCAATCGCGGTTGAGACAGGTCCCATTAAAACCTTCCAAAAACTTCCTTTGAGAAGAAAAGAAGGAAAGGGTATCCTGCGCCTTGGACTGGTTCGAGTGAAATGGAGACGTGATTACTCGATGCCGAGTTCTCTTCGAAACCACTCAAATCTTTGCCGAGTCAAAGGTTTGGTAAAACCATCAGCAATCTGTTCTGTGGTTGGGACATAGCCAAGCTGCACTCCTCCGCTATCTTGGATCTCTCCCTGCCATTTGCGTTGGATTTCCATATGTTTTGTGCGGGAGTGGTATTGTGGATTTGAAGCAAGAGCGATGGCACCCTGGTTATCACCGCAGATGATCGTGGCGGTTGTTCCTTGATCCATATTCAATTCATTGAGAAGTCTTCTCAGCCAGACGGCTTCTTTGGTGGCTTGCGTTTGTCCTAGAAACTCGGCTTCGCAGGTTGAAAGGGCAACAACGCCCTGGCGTTTCGATTGCCAACTGATTGCCCCGCTTCCAATGTTGAAGAGATAGCCAGCTGTGGATCGTTTCGTGGCGCGACATCCTCCCCAATCCGCATCTGTGAAGCCTCTCAGGGTCTGAAGCTGACCTTGGTAGGTGAGTCTGAGGTTCTTTGTTCCTTTGAGGTACCGCAGGATGCGACGGGCCAGTTTCATGTGCTGGGAGCCAGGGTTTGAGAGAGATCTGCTAGCGACAGAGACCGCATACGCGATGTCCCCCCTGGTTCCAAGCATGATGTACATTAGTGATCCGACAATGCGTTGGTAAGAGGTCCTTTGATCTGGAGTGCAGGTGTAGTCTGGACTATTTTCCGGAAGTGGTGAGGTTTCGATCGGCGTACTGACGGGGGCGCAGTTGTCAATTCCATGTTGATGAGCGATATTGTCAATGTATGCCTCTTGGCTTAGGAGCAGTCTCCTGTTTTGACGGTCTCGCTGGATGGACACCCCGAGATAGTAGCTGCATGGCCCCAGGTCCGTCATCTGAAACCGGTTTCTCAGGCTCCGCTTGATCCTCTTGATCTCAGCGATACTCGGACCCACGATCAGGATATCATCAACGTATACTGCGATGTACACACTGCTCCGGACGAAGATACCGAGATCGGCGGTGATTGGCTCGAAGCCAAGGCTGCGAAGGAAGTTTGTCAGGGTCTGGTACCAGATCCGAGGGGCCTGCTTCAAGCCATAGAGGGCCTTTCGAAGCTTGCAGACCCTTGGCGTGCCGTCCGTCATGTGGTGGGGCTGTTCGACGTAGATCTCGTGGTCGATATCTCCGTACAAGAATGCGGTTTTGACATCCATTTGTTCAATCTCCAAGTCCAGGGCCGCTCCGATGGCGAAGAGAGCCTTGTAGCTCATTGGCTTGACAACCGATGCGAAAGTTTCATCATAGTCAATTCCTTCTTCTTGTGTGAATCCTCTCACTACCCATCGGCTTTTGTGGCGGATGATTTCGCCATGCGGTCCGCGCTTGAGTTTGAAGACCCATTTACCGCTGAGTACCCGCCGGTCTTTGGGAGGATCCACAAGCTCCCACGTGTGATTTTGGTGGAGTGAATTCACTTCCTCAAGCATGGCTTTTTCCCAATCCACCCAGCTTGCGTCGTTTTTTGCTTGGCTCAGAGTTTTGGGCTCAAATGGTTCCGTCTCCTTTGCAGCCATGGCCAAGAAGGTTGGAATGACCTTTTCTTCAGGTACGTTCAAGAGCGCAAGCTCTTCGTCTCCATCAGGTTTGTCCAATGCGGCTTCCGAAGCCCGAAGTTTTAGTTCAGGGTGGTGATCTAATGTTCCTTGTTGAACTTCATGGACCGGCCGATGGAGCTCTGAATATCGTTGCCGTTCTAAAATTGGCCCTCGTTGGTGTTGCTGGTCGCCACCGGATGGTGAATCAATCCCAAGGACAGAATCCTGATAATCAGGTGATAGTGGCCCGAGGGTGTTCCCTCTCCGTATGGACGATAAGGTTATGTCTCCTTGAGCAGCAACCGCGTCGCCCTGTTGCTGGTCGCCACCGGGTGGCGATTCAATCCCAAGGACGGAATCCTGATAAGCAGGTGATAGAGGTCCGAAGGTGTTCTCACTCCGTGTGCGCGACAAGGTCCTGTCTCCCTGTACAGCAACAGCTGGCTGCGAGTCATCGTCACTCGTTTGGGACAACGCTTGAGTTTGCGAGTTATCGTCACTCGGCTGGGTAAGCACTCGCGAGTTATCATCACTCCGAGGCAGTGTGTGCGAGA